CCTATTAACCTAAACAAGCACAGACAGTGTTTATTAGGCTCAGTTTGTGTTCATACATAAAAAAATAAGACAACTTTTGGATAACAATCAGGTTTTCCAAACTTTTGTAAAAGGGTTAAGTACAGTAAAGAAAGTGATTAGGAAAAAAATCTGAATGCAGCTGTTGGTTTTATTCTCAGGTCTTTCCATGGATCTCAAGGAGGAGTCAACTCCCCTTGTAAACAGTGAAAGGGGTGGCAGCCAGAAGTCAAGCTCAAGTCTCACGCCTGGTTTACAGGTGCACCTCTACTTAGTCCCCAGAACAAAGAACTCAGTAACAATCCACATTTCATCTGGACAAACATCTGCAGAAAATGTTTGCATCAAAGCGGGAGAAGAATGTGGTAAGAGTCTTTAGTTATGAAGGGCTGGTTAAACACCTACGTTATAATAAAACCATGTTTTTAATTTGTTATTCAGGAATCTTGCCAGTGTACCTCAGTCTGTTTGGTTTGGCATCTGCTGACCATTCATTCTGGTATCCTCCATCACACATATTTGACTCTGATGAAAACGTAAAAGTTCACTTTAGAGTTCGGTAAGGTGGTTTTTATTAGTATTTACAGTAGGGAAAATAAGCATTTGACACATCAGCATTTTTATCAGGAAGGGTTTTTCTAAGTGGGCTATTGATATGACATTTCCATCACATGTCAATATCAACTCAAGTATTTAATTTATGCAAAGACATCTAAACATTGAAGTCTAACTAAATGAAAAGACAGAGGGAAAACATATTAAACACACAAAGATAACAAGGAGCAAAATGTCATTGAAAACCAGGAGATCTACTGAAATCTGTCAGTATTGAGAGAGAAACCCTGCTCACTATCAGTACTAATAATATATATTAGCTGCTTTAGTCCTGATTGATGGCCTATAAATGCTTATCAGCATTTTGATGGGAATGGTTATGGGCACATTTCCAGAATACTGAATGTTCATTTGAGCACCGTGGGGGCCGTTATCTGGAAATGGAATGAACGTTCACTATAAACCAGCCACAGTCAGGTGCTTCACGTAAGATTTGCTCTCCGAGAAGTCCAAAGAATAATCAGGGGAGCTCTCCAAGAGTCAAGAACCACTTGGGCAGAAGACCTTGCGACATAAGGTAATGTTGCTTAAAATAAACTATGAGCAATGCACTGAACTGCCATGGCATCCATGCACGCTCACCACACAAGACTCCATTGCTGAACAAAATGTACGTTGAAGCTCAGTTAAAGTTCACGAAGCAGCATTTGGAGAAGCCTGTGGATTACTGGGAGACTATAGTATAGTCAGATGAAACCAAACTGAACTTCTTGGGTGTCATTCTACACACCATGTTTAGAGAGGAAATGGAACTGCCAATGACCTCAAGAACAGCATACAAGTTTTAGGGTGGACGCATCATGGTGCGGGGCTGCTTGTCAGTGAGGGGTACTGGCAGAATTCATTGTTATTGGCAGGATGAATGGAGAAATGTACCAGGACGTTCTAGATAAAAATCTGCTGCCATCTACCAGAAAGCTGAAAATGAAAAGAGGGTGGACATTTCAGCAAGACGATGATCCAAAACACAAGGCCAAGAAAATAGTGAATTGGTTTCAAAGAAAAAAAATCAAGTTGCTTGAATGGTCCAGTCAGTCACCTGACATAAATGCCATAGAAAATCTATGGAGAGAACTGAAGGTCAAAGTTAAAAAAAAGAGGCCCAAGGAACTTTCCAGATTTAAAGACCATTTGTGTGGAAGAATGGGCCAGAATCATTCCTGAGCAATGCAGATGACTGATCTCTCCATACAAGAGGCATCTAGAATCTGTAATCACCAACAAAGGCCTTGAGCCGATCTGTCGTGGTGAAGAGGGAGCTGAGCCAGAAAGCCAGGCTCTCGATTTACCGGTCGATCTACGTCCCAATCCTCACCTATGGTCATGAGATTTGGGTAATGACCGAAAGAACGAGATTGCGGATACAAGCGGCCAAAATGAGTTTCCTCCATAGGGTGGCTGGGCTCAGCCTTAGAGATAGGGTGAGGAGCTCGGACATTCGGGAGGGACTCGGAGTAGAACCGTTGGTCCTCCGGATTGAAAGGAGTCAGTTGAGGTGGTTTGGGCATCTGGTCAGGATGCCTCCTGGACGCCTCCCTGGGGAGGTGTTTCGGGCATGTCCAGCCGGCAGGAGGCCCCCGGGTCAAACCAGGACATGTTGGAGAGGTTACATTTCCAATCTGGTCTGGGAACGCCTTGGGGTCCTGCCGGAGGAGCTGGTGGAGGTGGCCAGGAAAAGGATGGTCTGGAGCTCCCTAGTTGGGATGCTGCCCCTGAGACCCGGACCCGGATAAGCGGAGGAAGACTACAACGACGACGACGACAAAGACGACGGCAACGACGGCAACGACGAAGTGTGTTCAATACTTACTGCCTGTGTCATTTCACTTTATTTAATGTGACAACTTGAATACCTAAATATATTTATATTTCTTTTGTATGACTTCAATATTTGGCTTGATGGCAACAACTGGGGGGAATTTTATGTCAGTAGCCCACTTAGAAATATCCTTACTGATAAAAATGCTGATGTGTTAAATAATCATTTTCCCAGGTTTATTTTATTTTTCTAGGGTCATAACAAATGTTATGTTTTTTGTCTTAAGGTTTTTCTTCGGACACTGGTTTGGCCAAGGATCAAGAGCATCATATCGCTACAGTTTGACCAGAGACCGAATCAGTCCAGTGCTGGACTACAGCGTTATAGATTATCTTTTTGCTCAGGTAAAGTCCAAAAGAGTCAGTATCATTTATTCCATCCATCCATCCATCCATCCATCCATCCATCCATCCAATTTTGGCCGCTTATCCAGGGTCAGGTCACAGTAGTCTAAAACCCATTTCAGATAGACATTCTGGAATATGTGTGGACAATTCAATCTGGTTTTTAACCGGAACTGTGTTTTCAGACACACCACTTTTGTACTCCTTTCGGCTGCCTTCACACAGCAGGGAAAAGTTCCAGATGGGGGGGTTGGGGGGGGGTTGACATAGTGCGGCGGGCGCACATGCGTCATTTACCCAAACAAAGCCATTTAGTCGAACATGGCAGACGAAGAGATAGAATTCCTCTCACTGGTCGGACTTATGTTAAGCATAATTCTGCGCACACGAAGATGCATAAGAGACCTGGATGATGAAGCTCAATGCTGAAAAGGAATCACGGAAGCGGTGTGATGCGCTCCGTCGCGTGTCTAGGAGACAGTACCGTAGGAGGCGAGCTGCCATGGTTCGCTGCATGGTACAGCAGCGGGCTATCTAGGTGCGCACAGCGTCCCCCGGTCACCTCCTCCTCCCCCTCCTCCATGTCTGGAACTCGACCTCACCAGTCTGAAGCAGCCACCTTGTCCGTAACAAGTCCGGACCTGTTACTAGGGGCTTCGTCCGGTTAAATTACGGAAAACGTTATCCGGATGTTTGTATTCAGACACAAAGGTCTTACGGACAGAGTCCGGAACATTTCCGTTTTTCATGGCCTGTCTGAAGGGGGCTTTAGGAGGGAGGCCCAGACTTTCCTCTCCCCAGCCACATGGGGCAGCCTCTCTGGAGGAATCCTAAGGTGTTCCCTGGCCAGCTGAGAGACATAGTCCCTCCAGCGTCCTGGGTCTTCCTTTAGGTCTCCTCCAAGCTGGACATGCTCGGAAAACCTCACCAGGGAGGCGTCCAGGAGGCATCCTAACCAGAAGCCCGAGCCACCTCAACTGGCTCCTCTTGATGTGGAGGAGTAGCAGGTCTACTCTGAGCCCCTCGCGGATGACCGAGGTTGCCACCCTATCTCTGAGGGAGAGCCCAGCCACCCAGCGGAGAAAACTCATTTTTGCCGCTTGTATACATGATCTCATTCTTTCTGTCACCAACCAAAGCTCATAGATCAACCAGTAAATCAACATAGATCAACCAGTAAATCGAGAGCTTTGCCTTCCGGCTCAGCTCTCTCTTCACCACAGCAGATCAGTACAACGCCCGCATCACTGCAGACGCAGCACCACTTGTGGAAAAATCTGAGCCGGGCCAGAGTAAATGACTGGGGCTTGATTCCCAAATATTAAAGGTCATGATAACATGATTTTAGCAGTGGTGGCCGTATATTTGGTAGCTGGACCTTCAGTGCCAGTTTACTGACCTATTATGATATTACAACAGTGGCAGACTGGCCAGCTGTCACTTCTGGAGAAGAACAGCCGGTGTTGGCCTTGCCCCCACCCCTCCCACTGAAGCTCCCCCAGGCTGTGGGAACATCTAGCTTCCCACCCAGTGCTTTAAGTGGACCGCTACGGCCACTTGTAATTTTGGGTGTTTTGCATTTATTAGTCAAAATCTCCGAGATTTTTCATAAAACATCAGGCATCCATAGTCCACCCATCACCGCCCCTCCCGATATGCTGGGCCATGAGGGGCCACGTTTTGCGCACAAGGTGCATCACTGCCATGCGGTGCACTGTGCGTACAGCACCTTCAGTCAATGCCCAGGACAGGAAAAAAAGAGACGAGTTATTTTTAGACAAAAACTGTCCTCCTCTCTGCGCAGGAAAACTTCAATAACTTTGTCATTAAGCTGTTGATTTCCATCAGTAAGTGCTTTTCTATGGCCACGGAGGCCAATGCTGAGAGTCGCCTCTGGCTGAGACAAACAAGCTAGCAACGGGCTTGGGCGGACTCTCATAACGATGTCCAGCTTCTCTGAAAAAGTCCGTCTTGAAAATGGAACTGAAATTATCCAAATCAATTTCTTCTTCTTCATTATAGCCACCTAGTTTGCTATCTGTTGACAATTGATGATGATGTTGGTGGACAGCTGTTGATGAGTTTTACCCACAATGCACTTGGAGACGATTTCAGAGAGCCACTTGTAATTTTGCAGGTCATAAAGCCACTTGTGAGAGTAAAAATGAAGCCTGTCATGCAGTACAACATTTTATTCAGTATTTCACACCAACTACATCACTAAAGTCGGTCGGTCTTGTAAAATTTTTAGCAACCATGACTCACTCCTGACTGGGGCAACCTATATAAACCCTAAATAAATTTGCATTACAGTAATTTTAAAAATTTAGCTCATTCTCCTCTAAACACCAGTTATGGAAGTGGTTGTTTTATACTTGGTTTGTGTTGTGTTTGTGAGAGGTTTTATTTATGGCCAGCTCACTTGGGGCATTCAATGTATTTAGCAAATATCAATTGTGGCATTCTTGCATTATTTGTGCAAATTTCTTGCAAATGTCCATGTCACAATTCCCCTACGTTTTGGCAAATTCTTTACCTACACATCTTAAAGTTTTACTTCTGTAACTTTTCTTGTATTTCGAGTCAAGGAAACTAAACAGAGACGAGTTCCAGATGTGTGACAACTCTGTGACCATTGAGCCTGGCTTTATTGATTAGAACTAAAAATAAACACATAAACCATGTGATAAAAACTTCAGTGGATTTGAAACTAATACATTTTTATAAAGAATGACGTAAAATGAAAATGCATTTTTAATGATTTACTACTAACAGTGACTGGCTTCTTTTGGATCTTAGTTGAGAAGTGACTTTGTTGCCAGCGAAGCAGGAATCGCTCCACCTCTGAGTGCCCAAGAAGAATGCCTCGGCCTTGCTGTGCTGGACTTGTGGAGAATGACTAAAGAACGTCATCAAAGTGTAAGAGAGCTCTTCAAGACTGTCAGGTATTCACAGCTGGATAAAGTTACATTTTAACTCATTAACAGCAGTGGAAATGTGTAATGTAAAACATGTCTTTATGTCTGTCTTTACAACACATTCTTTTTTCTCCCAGCTATAAATCCTGCCTTCCTGAGTCCCATCGCTTCGAAATCCAGAAAAGAAACTTCCTGGATCGTTTTCGAATTCGAAAATCGCTGAAGTGTTTTTTAAAGAAGCTTGGAAACTGCCCGGTGGATGAATACAACCTGAAACTCAAATACCTGATTGAACTGTCAGGCATCGAGCCTTCTCTGGATAGTGAGACCTTCCATGTGAATCGTTCTTCCTCCTACTTAAATGCAACAATCTCTCTTGTGCGTGTCACTGGAGAAACTGGGATTCAAACCAGTGGAGGCTGTCGTCCTGATGGCATTGTGGTAAGAACAAGTTAGGATTTTAGATGTTGGGTCAAATTTGATGCAATCTTTAGGCGTAAAATTAAGGTTTCTAACAGGCAAATATAAATGCAGTTTTCAGTAAGAAATCTTTACGTTATTGGCTGAATTTTATTTTATTTTAACATGCAAAGCCAGATTAAAACACACATTATTGCACACAACCCAATTGAGAAATTCAATAGAAATTCTTCTTATGGCAGAGGGAATCTATCAATAGGAGGCGCTGCGAGAGCTGCTATACTGTGCAGCAAAGACATTTTAAACAGCAGCTGAAAAGGCAGCAGGCACCTACATGCATCAGCTGATTGATAGTTCCTTTCACACAGGATGATGTCTTCACTAGGGCTGGGCGGTATGGCCTAAAATCAATATCACGATATATTGAGGATTTCACCTCAATAACGATAAATAGACGATAACTACAGTTATGTGCAGAAACAAAAATTGTCCACTAGATGGGGTTGTCGCATGTTTTATTTTGAGTCACATTTTCCGTGACTCAAGGTGGTACAGCTTACTAATGGGACATGAACGTTGCCAATCTACACACATCTTTTCATTTTTTTATTGTCAAATTTATTGACATGGGAAAAATTATCTCGATAAGAGTCAGAAATTTTGATAACGATAAATTTTCGATTTATTGCCCAGCCCTACTAAGATGCTAGAAAATTTTTTTGCCTGAACCAGGATGGTCTCTCAGCAACTGAAAACGTAAAAAACTGTGGTCCGTAGCGTGACATCATCATGAAAAATAGGACATTTCAAACTATGAACAACCCCCCACCCCCCCACCCCACCACCACCACCACCATCAAGGAGCTGAGCTTCATATGTGCATGTGGAAAGCAAAGACAACAGAGGGAGCTTAAACCAGTCCAGTATGGTGCAGGGCTGAACGTTAGGCTAATCACTTAGCTCCAATACTCTAAATCCCTTTTCATTCTGGTCTTACTTCACTCGCACTTCCTGTGAAAAAAATGCGCCTAAAAGAGGCGACGCCTGGTGGACTGAGCGCGGCACTGAGGCAGTGATTGACAGCACCCCCCCTCAACAGACCCCCCCCCCCCTCCGGCTCTTGGAGTTTCTCATTTGGAAAAGCGAGTCGTTAACAAGCGCATGCAGACACACACACAGCAGACGGATCCACTGCGATCACAAAAAAAAGGGGGAAGAAGGACATTTTTTAAACTGAGTCTGGCAACCCTCCATCTTTTCAAAGCAACAGTAATGTAATTTGTACTCGACTGTCATAAACATCACAGCTTGTTTGGCAGAAAGATTTTTAAATAGTAAATTTTCTTCAAGAAGCAGAAGGCAGTCGAGTAATTGTTCATTTTGTTACTTGTTTTGGTTGTGAACCTCCGGCATCTCATCTCACCCATTTCACACTGAAAGCATCATCTGCATGGAACAGCAGCGAAACATTGCTGCTTCTAATAGAATCCATTATAGTCTATGTATATATAGATTCAAACCAGCCACTACGAGGCAATTTTCAGGCGTGTGCTAGAAGCAGCACGCCACGCAGCTGCCGTTCCACGCTGCTTGATGCTTCCAGTATGAAACAGGGGTAAGTTGGTGCTGGGCACTGAGGTGCATTCTCATTCACTGACAGCTTCCTCTTGTGGTCAGCGCTCTAGGTTTGTATATATTATTCATTATGCTGTAGAAGCAAGGGGAGACTTGGGGGAAGTTAAAGTTTAATTTCTAAATGTTAAGCAACAAATCCCAACTTTAAATTCTTGTGTGCACTATGAAAAGCGGCACCATGCTGGCATAAAAGATTAAAGGCAAAACCTATTTCAGCATTTACGTGCCAACAGGATTAATATTTAACTTGTTATTGAGATTTTGTTGAAATATTTGTCCATAAAATGTCAATTGCATCATTTTTCAGGAGTGGAAGACCTTCTGTGATTTTCAAGAAATTGTGGACATCAACATAAAAAGCAAAGATCAGGTTTTACAGGATAGCAGGATCATCACGGTAACTGTCAAACTCCTTTTGGTACGATAACACTACAATTAATTCTGGCCTCATTAATTTGTCCTGCATAATATTTTTTCCAAAAAAGAATGCAGATCCAGCTTCACAAGACAGCAGAATGGTCACTGTAACTCGTAAGGATGACAGATGCTTGGTAAAAATGTGTTTTACTTCTTATCAATGTAATTTTATTCAAAAACTAAAATTTGTTTTTAAAATCGCTGTTTGATTTTTTTTTTAAATCAGGAAGCCAATTTCCAGAATCTGAAAGAGGCTCTTTCATTTGTGTCTCTTGTTGATGGCTACTTCCGACTGACCACAGACTCCAATCATTTCTTCTGTGAGGACGTTGCTCCACCGAGTATTTTGGAGGGACTTTATAATCACTGTCATGGCCCAATCACGTGAGTCATATTTATGAAAAAAATGTTTGAGAATCCAGCAGATTTGTCTTAACTATTTCTGTCAAATTTGATTGTTTCAGATCAGAGTTTGCAGTGAACAAGCTGAAAAAATCAGGATGTAAAGGCGGTACCTTCCTTCTGCGGCAAAGTCCCAAGAACTATAATAATTTTTTCCTCACTGTTTGTGTTCAGGTAAAGCATGACACAAAATAATAATTTAAAAATGTTTTATAGAATTTTCTATTTGTCTTTGATTATTATAATATATTCACTGACCTGACAACAGTGCTAAAATATGAAGTTTTTTTAATTAAGATTTTATATATTTAAATACTTCATGATTAGAATCACAATCATTAGTCTGGAACAATGACTGAATAAGATGGACAAACACTGCACACCTCCCCTGGAGCAAGGAGAAGGGCAAGCTGCTGGAACTGATGGCTCACTTGCTACCTGACAGTCAAATGGACACGCCCCTAAGTATTCACAATTTCAAGCTTTCATTTAACGGGTTACGGAAGAAAGTTTCATAAAATTACAGTGAAGGTCTCAAGATGCCAGCAGTAAGCTTTGGCTGGTCCCAAACTAGCTGTTAGCTCATCAATACTAAAAAAATTTGAAAACTATTACAACACACAGAGCCATTAAGGAAATGCATGCACAGAAGCACACTTTTAAAATGGCCATAAAATCCATTCAAACTAAATCAAATATCTCCTGATCCCAAGCAGAGAAACTATAGTTTATTAACTGCAGATGAACACATTTTCCAATAATATGTTGTCCACATCTTGACTAAAGTGTGTTGATTCTTTTTCTGCAGACTTCACTTGGACTGGATTACAAAGACTGCCTTATCATTAAAAATGAGAACTACAGCCTTTCTGGAGTCCAGAAAACTTTTTCCAGCTTGAGAGAACTCACCAACTACTTTCAGCACAACAAGCTGCTTCTGGCTGAAATACCTGTCACATTAACTCGCTGCTGTCCTCCACGACCTAAAGGTATCTTTTTCTAGCCTTGTTTTTTTCTCATATACTAGCTGTAACATTATGTGGAACTATATTAAAGGTGTGGAACATTAAAAAAACATTTTAAAAATATTATCTCTGATTATAATCGGTCACTCTGAGTTTAACGTGAAGGCTGAACATCAAAAAGTCTCCTACACTTATTTCCTGAGTTAGCTTCTGATAGACGGTGAAACTTTAGGACAGGTGTCACCAATTCTGGTCCTCGAGGGCTACCATCCTGCTAGTTTCTGTGTTTCCTGCTCTACCACACATGAATGGAGTTATTTAATCCTCTCCTTAACTGTACATTACGCATTCGTTTCAATCAGGTTTGTAGGAGCAAAGAAACAGCTAACGTACAGGATGGTAGCCCTCGAAGACCAGAGTTGGTGACCCCTGCTCTAGGATTTGAAAAGCCTGACACTGTCACTTAACATTCATGGACTCACCCATCTTGACTCACGACGAGAAAGGCTGTTAGTTTAACATCCAGGAAACAGCAGAGAACATCTCGACTAGAAGAAGCTAACCGTTAGCATTAGCAACTCTCCCACACAACAAAACTCCTTCAGGCTTGCGTTATTTGTGGAGAAAAACATCAACATTGTAAGTCAGCGGTAGAGTTGCGTTGCTGTTATCCAATCCAAGACAATATTTTCAGGAAATAAGACTCCAAATCCTGTTGCCAGAAGCTCAGTTGTGATGTGGCTCAATTCTATTTCTTGAAAATAGTGCACCAGTGTTTTTCTTCCCCAAAGTACAACTTACAAGGCATTCATTCCTACTAGAGACCACTGGAAATGTATTTATTTTGTTTAGTTTGATTTTATTTTAAGGACAACACTAAAGACAATGTTACATGTAAGGGCAATGCAACCATTGCTCTGTACAGAGGTTCTCAAGCTACAGGCTAATTTGCAAACCTAGTCCTTGATAGGACTTTTGGAAACAATAAAATAACAGGTAAAGCATTCATCATCATCACCACACACACACACACACACACACACACACACACACACACACACACACACACACACACACACACAATCTATGTAAATAAGTGTTTAGCCGATAAGAAACGTCAGTGTCCATGTTTGTTTTTGTTTCAGCCATTTTTTCACCCGGGACTTAACAGTTGTAAAATTTCTTAACTTTGTTTTATTATTGATAGTAGATTGTTCCAAATCTGAGGTCCTCTAAAAGAGAAAGAGGATTGACCAAATGATGGTTTGCATTTTGGTGGTTTGCGGTCTCCATTGACTAATCCTCTGGTTGTAGCTCCTGTGCTACTGACTTTTACGGTCGGTCTGCTCACCAGCTCTGGGACAATCCCATTTAGACATTTGAATGTCAGTTTATGACAGAGAAGTTTATAAAGTTATCGAAACTTAGGAGAATGTACTTCTCCTGTATTTTGCAGTGGTGCCGCTTCATTGGTTTGTGGTCCAGGGTCTTTTAGGGCTTGTTTGTACACTTGACAGGTTTTAAAGCAGACTGGGTTGCTTTGCTCCAAACAGTTACACAGTAAGAGAGGTGAGACAGAATCATGGGATGCAGGTACAGCTGGGCAGCTTTTACAGGTAAATATGGCCTTATCAGACAGAAGCAGCTGAGGTTGGTCCCAACGGTTCTAGACACTTTTCTGATGTGGGACTCAAATTTAAGATGTCTCTGGGTGTACACCCAGATATTTAAACTCATCCAGTTGTTGGATTTCTTTCTGGTTAATGAAGACAGTAAAGTTGTCAAAAATCTTGTGTTTGATCGTAAAACACACGGAGATGGTTTTGCTGTAGTTTAGGGTCAAAAGGTTATTCCTGAACCAGCAAGACACTCCCACCATCTGTTGATTCAGTAACTTCACAGCCTGTTGGGGAGTCTTTGCGGTCACATAGATGACAGAATAATCGGCATACATTTGGCACTGGACACCTTTACAACTACTGGGTGTATAGACAAGTATAATAATAATAATAATAATAATAATAATAATAATAATAATAAATAATAATAATAAATACTCCTCCTTGAACCGTCACCTTATCGTGGTGGAGGAGTTTGAGTGCCCTAATGATCCTAGGAGCTATGTTGTCTGGGGCACTTAGTGCCCCTGGTAGGGTCTCCCATGACAAATTGGTCTTAGGTGAAGGGTGAGACAAAGAACGGTTCGAAGGATCTTTCATGGCGGTTAAAACGAAGAGTCGGAGTACCCGGCCCGGAGGGTTACCGGGGTCCCACCCTGGAGCCAGGCCTGGGGTTGGGGCCCGTGAGCGAGCGCCTGGTGGCCGGGCTTTCGCCCATGGGGCCCGGCCGGGCCCAGCCCGAACCGGATACATGGGCTCGTCCAACTGTGGACCCACCACCCGCAGGAGGAACATGAAGGGTCCGGTGCAATGTGAATCGGGTGGCAGACCAAGGCGGGAGCCTTGGCGGTCCAATCCCCGGACAAGAAAACTAGTTTTTGGGACATGGAACGTCACCTCGCTGGCGGGGAAGGAGCCGGAGCTTGTGGCAGAGGTTGAGCGGTACCGGCTAGATATAGTCGGACTCACCTCGACACATAGCATTGGCTCTGGAACCCGAGACCTGGAGAGGGGTTGGACACTCTACTTTGCTGGAGTTGCTCCGGGTGAGAGGCGGAGGGCTGGGGTTGGCTTTTTGTTAGCCCCGAGACTCTCTGCCTGTGTGTTGGGGTTTACCCCGGGGGACAAGAGGGTAGCTTCCTTGCGCCTTCGGGTCGGGGAACGGGTCCTGACTGTTGTTTGTGCTTATGGGCCAAATATCAGTTCAGAGTACCCACCCTTTTTGGAGTCCCTGGGACGAGTGCTAGATAGTGCTCCATCAGGGGACTCCATTGTCCTGCTGGGGGACTTCAATGCTCACGTGGGCAATGACAGCTTGACCTGGAGGGGTGTGATTGGGAGGAACGGCCCACCTGATCAGAACTCGAGCGGTGTTTTGTTATTGGACTTCTGTGCAAGCCGCAGTTTGGCCATAACGAACACCATGTTCGAACATAAGGATGCCCACCGGTACACTTGGTACCAGGGCAGCCTAGGTCACAGGTCGATGATAGATTTTGTAGTCGTATCATCTGACCTGCGGCCGTATGTTTTGGACACCCGAGTGAAGAGAGGGGCGGAGCTGTCAACTGATCACCACCTGGTGGTGAGTTGGATCAGATGGCAAGGGAACATGCCGCGTAGACCTGGCAGACCCAAACGCATAGTGAGGGTCTGCTGGGAACGCCTGGCAGAAGAACCTGTCAAGATGGTCTTCAACTCCCACCTCCGGCAGAGCTTTGACCACGTCCCGAGAGCAGTGGGGGACATTGAGTCCGAGTGGGCCTTGTTCCACTCTAAGATTGTCGAGGCGGCTGTTGCTAGCTGTGGTCGTAAGGTGGCCGGTGCCAGTCGTGGTGGCAACCCCCGTACCCGCTGGTGGACACCAGAGGTTCGGGGAGCCGTCAGGCTGAAGAAGGAGGCCTACAGGGCGTGGCTGGTCTGTGGGTCTCCGGAGGCAGCAGACAGGTACCGGATAGCCAAGCGGGGTGCAGCAGTGGCAGTTGCCGAGGCAAAATCTCGGGCGTGGGAGGAGTTTGGTGAGGCCATGGAGAAAGACTATCGATCGGCTCCAAAGAGGTTCTGGCAAACTGTCCGGCGCCTCAGGAGAGGAAGGCAGCAACTCGCTCACACTGTTTACAGTGGGGATGGGGAGCTGCTGACGTCAACTGAGGCTATAGTCGGACGGTGGAAGGAATACTTTGAGGAGCTCCTCAATCCCACCAATGCGCATTCCGAGGAGGAACCAGAGCTGGGAGGCCTGGGGATGGACTGTCCGATCTCGGGGGCAGAAGTTGCTGAGGTAGTCAAACAACTACACAGCGGCGGAGCCCCGGGGGCGGATGAGGTTCGTCCTGGGTATCTCAAGGCTATGGATGTTGTAGGGCTGTCATGGTTGACACGTCTCTACAACATTGCGTGGTCATCGGGGGCAGTTCCTAGGGAGTGGCAGACCGGGGTGGTGGTCCCCATCTTTAAGAAGGGTGACCTGAGGGTGTGTTCCAACTATAGGGGGATCACACTCCTCAGCCTCCCTGGAAAGGTCTACTCCAAGGTACTGGAGAGGAGGGTCCGATCGATAGTTGAATCTCAGATAGAGGAGGAGCAATGTGGTTTTCGTCCTGGCCGTGGAACTGTGGACCAGCTCTATACCCTTGCAAGGGTGATGGAGGGGGCATGGGAGTTTGCCCAACCAATCCACATGTGCTTTGTGGATTTGGAGAAGGCTTATGACCGTGTCCCCAGGGGCATCCTGTGGGGGACGCTCCAGGAGTATGGGGTGGGTGGCTTTCTGTTAAGGGCCATTCAGTCCCTTTACCAGAGGAGCGTGAGTTTGGTCCGCATAGCCGGTAGTAAGTCGGACCTGTTCCCAGTGAGGGTTGGACTCCGCCAGGGCTGCCCTTTGTCACCGGTTCTGTTCATCACTTTTATGGACAGAATTTCTAGACGCAGCCGTGGTGTGGAGTGTGTCGAGTTTGGTGGCAGGAGAATCTCGTCTCTGCCTTTTGCGGATGATGTGGTCCTCCAAGCTTCATCCAGCTCTGACCTTCAGCTCTTGCTGGGTAGGTTCGCGGCCGAATGTGAAGCGGCTGGGATGAGGATCAGCACCTCCAAATCTGAGACCATGGTTCTCGACCGGAAAAGGGTGGCTTGCCACCTCCGGGTCGGGGGAGAGGTCCTACCTCAAGTGGAGGAGTTTAAGTATCTCGGGGTCTTGTTCACGAGTGAGGGTAGGAGGGATCGGGAGATCGACAGGCGGATTGGTTCGGCATCTGCAGTGATGCGGACGCTGAGCCGATCTGTCGTGGGGAAGAGGGAGCTGAGCCAGAAAGCCAGGCTCTCGATTTACCGGTCGATCTACGTCCCAATCCTCACCTATGGTCATGAGCTTTGGGTAATGACCGAAAGAACGAGATCGCGGATACAAGCGGCCGAAATGAGTTTCCTCCGTAGGGTGGCCGGGCTCAGCCTTAGAGATAGGGTGAGGAGCTCGGACATTCGGGAGGGACTCGGAGTAGAACCGCTGCTCCTCCGGATCGAAAGGAGCCAGTTGAGGTGGTTTGGGCATCTGGTCAGGATGCCTCCTGGACGCCTCCCCGGGGAGGTGTTTCGGGCATGTCCTGCCGGCAGAAGGCCCCCGGGTCGACCCAGGACACGTTGGAGAGGTTACATCTCCAATCTGGTCCGGGAACGCCTTGGGGTCCTGCCGGAGGAGCTGGTGGACAAGGCCGGGGAGAGGACGGCCTGGAGCTCCCTAGTTGGGATGCTGCCCCCGCGACCCGGACCCGGATAAGCGGAGGAAGACGACGACGACGACGACGACGACGACGACGACGACGACGAATAATAATAAATAATAATAATAAATATTAATAGACCTAGGATGGAACCTTGTGGAACTCCCATTGTTAAGGTTTTTTCTGCCTGGTTTAATTCCATTAACTTTAACACACTGTTTTCTGTGTTTTGGATATGGTCTAAACCATTTAATAGCTGTCTGTGAAAATTTTAATTTGCTGAGTTTATGTAGGAGCATCTCGTGATTCACTGTGTTTAAAAACTTTTTTCCAGATCTAAGAAAACTGCTCCAACTCCATTACTGTTGGATCTTTTAACCATTTGATGCATGAATTATGAAATCTTCAACCATGATTTTTTAAACAATTTTTTTCATTCGTCTTTAGGTGTGAATGAAACAAATTTCAACAAATATTTTTGTAACATTTTGTTAATTTACAAATAATTTATTACATGTCCACCTCAGTGGACAGCGTGCATTCTGAACATGAAATATGTTGGCTTGGCTTACTGAAGTCCAAATGGAGGGGCTCACATGCAATAAAGTCTTCAACAGCTGTGCTTAATAGCAAAAATAAATAAATAACAATTTTGAGTACCTGTCCACTGTAGTGCCCATTATGCATCAAAGGGTTAATATTTTCGGTTAAGTGTTCAACACCTAATTTACTAACTGGGTTTTCCTTAAAGGTCCTAATTCATGAAAAATCAATTTTTGGAGCTTTTGACCATGTTTATTGTTATTTCCCCACAATGGGTTTTTTTGGCTTCACACAGGCATTTTCCCATCTCAGCTGCTAATTCCCTTCAGCTCTGCATATTTTTGCTAAACCAGTGGATGCATACAGCTGGATCATCCAACCTGGATGGGTTGTTTCTGTGTCATCACAGGCTGCTCTTTCTCATCCAGGTAGTCTCACCAGTCCAGATCTCTCCTCCAGTGGACTGTAAACACTAATGCCCAGTCTCTGTGGCTAATCTCCACAGTTGTGAAGAAGGGATTTATTTTCTTAATTAGTCTGCACTTTAAATAATGCTTAGAACCCAAAAACAGATTTTTGTCTGTGAGAGAACAGGATCTGTGTCCAGTCTTCCTGAAGAAGAGTTTAATCTGCACAAATGATTCCTTTTTTTATCTTCAAGAGCTCTCAAAAACCAAGCCAGAATGTTACAACGGTTTCACAGACTGCTTGTTAAACTTCCACCAATACTGGAGTGGGTCTTGGGGCAGATTACTTCTTCAAACTGATGCCATTGTTGAAACCAGCCAATGGAGAAGCCGGGCAGAGGAAAACATACATGCTAACTGCTAGCTGAAGGGCTATAAAGTTTCTATTAAAAAGTCCCATCAGTTTTCAGACACACTGATGTGTGGTGAAATGTGTACAACCGCATTTGACCGATCCCTGTGGGAAGCAGTGAGCTGCAGACACCACTGTGCTCGGGAACTATTTGGTGGTTTGCCCTAGCCTGGCCAGCCAGACTTTCTCTGTTTAATTCTGCACAGATATTAAACAGAGAGAGTCTGGCTGGCCAGGCTAGGTTTGCCCCCCAATCCAACCCCTTTGAAGCTGAGCATCAAGCAGGGAGGCATCGGGTCCCATTTTAAAGTCTTTGGTATGATGTAACCGAGACTTTAACCCCAACCTTCCAGCCCCAGGATGGACACTCATACCACTAGGCCACTGAGCTGGTATGTGAGTGAGTGTCAGAGACAGAGTGAAACGGATTCATCCCAGGTGCCTTTTTGCCATCCGAGTGGTGCGTTTGTGTGTCTGTCCTGTTTGTGTGTCCGTGTATGTGCATGCTGCGTGTGCAACCCTGCGGGCCCATCTCAAAACTTGAGCATTGTGGACTCGAGTACCGCTCAGTCTTTCGCTGTCCTTGGGCAATACAATTAACTCGCCTTGCCTGGTGGTGGTCAGAGGGACTGGCGCATTCAGCAGCCTCTGTCAGTGCATCCCAGGGCAGCTGTGGCTACATTGTGGCTCATCATCACAGGTGTGTGAATGTGTGTGTGTTGGTGAATGACTGATTCTGTTGTGGAGCACCTTGGGGGGTTGTAGAACCCTAGAAGGTGCTAATCAAATACAGGCCACTCAGCATTTATCTAATTTTGAAAACACTTTAAATACTTGGGTTCCATCAGGAGTCAATTTTTTTTTAGTTAATGTAATGTAAGCCTCAGGACATAGCACTCAGTCTGGAAATCACCTCATTTTGGTACCTTGATTTCTGGCTTCAATGCATGGGTTGTACTGCACATAATAAACCTTTTTTTCTTTTCCCAAAGAGCTCTCGAATCTTATAATCATAAGAAACAGCAGCTCGGTTGAAGTCCAGGGCTCCCCACCACCTGAAAGGAACAAATTCAGTCATATCCAGTTTCACACCATCAAATATGAAGACCTGAAATGGGTGAGTAATTAAACTGCACACCACACCTGCCACTAAATTATCATTCTTTACTCGTACGCATTCAACTCTGATTTTACTCCAGCTGCTAAAATGGCTAAAAAGTGAGCATTAGGCAGAGAAATCAGAGAGGTATTTTAATTTTAAATGTAGTTTTTAGGAGTGTTAATAAATGCTTCATTCAACCTGTCAGGATGAGAGTCTTGGACAGGGCTCCTTCACACGAATCTTTAAAGGTGAAAAAACTGACTATCGTGATGGAGAGAAACACACAACGGAAGTTCTTCTAAAGGAGCTTGATCCAGATCACAAGAACTGCTGGGAGGTGTGTGTTGTTTTCTAGCTGGTTAGAAAACAGATTAGAAAACAGGCTAAAGCTAAATGTGTTTGGATGTTTTATTTTTTTCAGTCATTCTTTGAAGCTGCCAGCTTTATGAGCCAGATTTCACACAAACACCTCCTGCATGTATACGGAGTCAGTGTTCATGGGGACAAAAGTAAGTTGAAGCTTAAGCTGCATGATACTTTATATTTAGGAAAAACAAAAAAAGAAGCAAATTTTTATGTTTATCGCTTTTAAAGGGACATTATGGAAGTTTGACAGCCAAAACGTATAGAAATAATAAATTTCTTCTTCATACATTGTCCTGCAATGCCCTGGTCCTGTAGAATGAGCCCTGGCATTTTTACTGTGATTGCCCGTTTTTCTGTAAAATCACAGAAAAAGAGAGCTGCTCGGGTCGAGCAGGCTGCTTCATGCACGTTCACGCTCAGGCATAGCCCATAGCATTTGCTATCTGTAGATTTAGAGAGGCAGTGCCAACTCAGCGACTTTGTCGCTGTTCCTAACGCCTAGTGACAAACCTAGCTACATTTCTGAGGACCTTAGCAACTTTCTGTAGAACTTTCTTCTAGATATTTCCTGCAAATTAGCAACAAAATAGCCATTTTCACTCTGAACCGTTCTTTGGTTTGACGTTGTTTCAGGTGTCATCAAGGATATAAATGATACAGATACTGTAAATGTTATTAGAGTGTAGCTCACATTGTAAGATGTCTGACTCCCATGCAGAAAATGTGGGTTTGATTCTGGGTGTGAACATAGTTCATTTAGAGGTTTTTTTTTTACATTAATGGTACATTTTTTTACAGTAAGATGCCCAAATTTTTATTTGAGACTCGCCGAACGGCATTGAATTCACAGATTAAAAAGATGTGGTTTCAACTTTCATTTTTGAACAATTTTTCAAGCAAGGGAGGGGCATGATCTGAGCATGCAGGAGGACTGACCCATCTTAAACCTTTGTCGGCTGTGCTGAAGAGAAAGGTACAGAACTGTCAGGAGCGATCGGCTGAGCTGGAGTGAGGCTTTGAGACCCAGGCGAGGAGAGACTGGTGTTTGGTGTCGAAACTGTTTACAGTGTGGGAAGTTCTCTTCCCGGATGGTTCTCAGAGTTGGCAGATTAGGCTTAGTTGTCTTAGAATGGGTTGGCGTCTATCATGAGATGATGACTGAGTGCCGGCTCAGCTGTGACAGGTCCTTAAATAGGCTCAGCGGGATGACGTCACCGGGAAGCGTCGGTGACAGGGATGCTGGGAATTGGAGTGCAGTGCCAGCCAGGCCCGCAGAGGAGGTTAAGAGGAGGAGTTCATGACAAGAACCAAATTATTTAATTAATTAGCAGCACGTTCTCCTGTCCTCTGTCCTCCGGGCCACACACACACGCACGGGACTGTCTCAGCTGTTATTTTTGTTAAGGAGTGTGCACGTACAGCATGCGTGCCTCGTGCACGAGCCTACTATTGAAGCTGCCGGTACACTTTTGGCCTGAGGGGGCAATCACGAGCATAAAATTTCAAAAGTCCGTAAAGTCCCTTTAATGAATAAAACTCACTATTCTTCATTGTACACTAAGTAATTTGAGCACAAATCACAAATGACTGAGCTCAGCCTTTAGTCATGTGGGTGAACATTTGAGGATGTGTGTCAGCTGTAAATGTTTGCTCTTGTGTCTTTCAGACATCATGGTACAGGAGTTCGTTAAGCATGGGGCCCTTGACCTTTACTTGAAACGAAAGAAATCATTATCAGTCAGCTGGAAACTCAATGTAGCAAAACAGCTGGCATGTGTCCTGAATTTTCTGGTAAAAAAACTTGAACATAAAACAAGTTAAGTCATTTTAAATTAGATGGTTCTTCAAGGTGATAATTGCCTTGCAGGAAGAGCAAAGCATCATACATGGAAACATCTGTGCTAAAAACCTGCTGCTTGTAAGGGAAGAAGACCCATCTCAGGGCATCTCTCCATTTATCAAGCTGAGTGACCCTGGCATCAATGTGGCCATGCTGGGAAAAGATGGTAACATAAAAATAGTTAATTCACACATATTTTTGTCTTTTGTGCATGCATACTAACTAATTGTGCTTTTTGAATTGCCCATTTAGCTTTAAATAAAAAAAACTTTAACTTCTTTCTTACAACTACTTTTACACACAAGATTATTATATTTGAGTAATGAACAAAAAAGTGGCCTTGTCAGTTATCATGCACAGGATCCCTTGGATAGCCCCTGAGTCACTGGCTGCTCCAGACAACCTGACCCACGAGTGCGACAAGTGGAGCTTTGGTGCCACAGTGTGGGAAATCTTCAACAATGGAAACCCTCCATTGCAAGGCTGGAGCCTAGAAGAGGTAAAGCTAGTGTAGCGGTGCAGGATAGTGCATTTATGTGGAATATACTCTTAAGTTTCATAAGTCACCATAGGCTCGTTTCGGGATTTCCTGATATTACATCAATATGTATCGCATTTCACATCATAAAGCTTTAAAAGAGAGAGGAGACAGGATTCAATGGCTCTGAGGTAAAGTTGTCTTTGTGGACAGGTAAAAATTACAGTAGTTTGTCTTTTGTTGGAGATCATTAACTCATTCATTTGCAATACTTTTTAATGGTACAACATTTTTCTACATATGGCATTTTAGGGTGTCTGAAATAATTAATGTTTTTTAATCACACTGCTCAAAAATAAAGGGAACACTTAAACGACACAATGTAACTTTAAGTTAATCGCACTTCTGTGAAATCAAACTGTCCACTTAGGAAACTACACTGATAACCAAACAGTTTCACTGCTGTTGTGCAATTGGAAAAGACAACAGGTGGAAATTATAGGCAATTAGCAAGACATCTCTAATAAAGGAGTGGTTCTGCAGGTGGTGACCACAGACCACTTCTCAGTTCCTCTGCTTTCTGCCTGATGGTTTGGTCACTTTTGAATGCTGGTGGTGCGTTCACTCTAGTGGTGGCATGAGATAGAGTCTACAACCCACACAAGTGGCTCAGGCAGTGCAGCTCTTCCAGGATGGTGCATCAATGCATGCTATGGCAAGAAGGTTTGCTGTGTTTGTCAGCATAGTGCCCAGAGCATGGAGGTGCTATCTGGAGACAGGTCAGTACATCAGGAAACATGGAGAAGGCTGTAGAAGGGCAAAAAACCCAGTAGCAGAACTGCAACCTCCACATTTATGCAAGGAGGAACAGGAGGAGCACTGCCTGAGCCCTGCAGGATGACCTCCAGCAGGCCACAGATGTGCATGTGTCTGCTCAAACGGTCAGGAACTGACTCCATGAGGGTGGTATGAGGGCCCAACGTCCACAGGTGGGGCTGTGCTTACAAACCAACACCACACAGAATGTTTGGCATTTGCCAGAGAACACCAAGATTGGCTAATTCACCACTGCCCTGTGCTCTTCACAGATGAAAGTAGGTTCACACTGAGCACATGTGACAGTCATGACAAAGTCTGGAGATGCCGTGGAGAACGTTCTGCTGCCTGCAACATCCTCCAGCATGACCGGTTTGGCAGTGGGTCAGTAATCGTGTGGGGTGGCATTTCTTTGGGGGGCTGCACAGCCCTCCATGTGCTCGACAGAGGTAGCCTGACAGCCATTAGGTACCGAGATGAGATCTTCAGATTTCTTCTTCTAGACCATATGCTGGTGCAGTTGGCCCTGGGTTACTTCTAATGCAAGACAATACTAAACCTCATGTGGCTGGAGTGTGTCAGCAGCTCCTGCAAGATGAAGATGGATGCTATGGACTAGCCCACCCATTCTCAGATCTGAATCCAACTGAGTACATCAGAGACATCAGCCCTTTTTACAAGACACACCATGCTGGGAAATCGGCGTAATATTACCGCAATGGTATGTCTATAAATGCGCCATGCCGGCATGGCGTTGCGGGAATTTTGCGGCATTCATTCCGCCTTGCTTGCTTGTAATATTGCGGTAATGGTCTGCCATATCCGCCCTGGCGCAACAGAGGCAGATGTCATGATGACGTGGGGAGTTATTGCTGAGCCCCAGCTGGCAAATTTATTGAAACTGAAAGTAAACACAGGAAATAAGGTTTGCTTTTTGAACAAAATCAGCTGAGATGGCAAACTGGAGCGCCGCAGCGCCCCACGAGCCTCTCTGTTAGAGCTGAAGCTCAGATCACCAGAGACTGCACAGGGACTGATGGGGACAGACACCTTTAGGAGATGCTTGTTAAAAAACGTAACGATCATGGCTTCAATTGCAATAAAAAGCAAGTTATGTCCAAGATAAACGAAAGTCTGCGGCAGCGCAGAGACCGTCCCCATACCCCCTTTATGCCGCCATCACCTGATCTTTTATGAAATTGCCACGATTGCGCCACATTACCGCCACGGTCTGATCTTATAAACGGCCTTTATCCTCCCCAGGGAGCTGCGGCAAATCCCGTTTTGGAAATGCTATGGTCCTGTAAAAACAGCTATCATATTTCACCCATTCACCAACACCATGGTGCACCAAAAGAAAGAAAGAAAAAAAAATCTTTTATATAGCGCCTCTCAAGATAAAGTCACGAGGTGATCCACAAGAACAAATACATTTTTAAATATAAAAATTATTTTTTAAATGATTCAAAAACATGGTTAAAATGAGGAAAAAATACTATTAAAAAAATGTTATTAAAAAATGTAAGGAAAGGGAAAGAGACAATGAATAGTAAAGAGAGAAAGTGGATCACAGACTGTCCAGGAGTTGGCGGATACTTTAGCCCAGATCTGGGAGAAGATCCCTCAGCAGACCATCTACAACCTTATCAGGAGCATGCCCAGGCGTGTCATACAGACTTGTGGAGGCCTCTCACACACACACACACACACACACACACACACACACACACACACACACACACACACACACACACACACACACACACACACACACACACACACACACACACACACACACACACACACACACCTGAACCTTTTTTAGACTTGTTGGACAAGTTGTTTTTTTGCACATTCAACTATGTAAAGAACAAAGCATTTAATAAGAATATTTCATGCATTCAGATCTACATATGATGTCTTATTTTTGTATTCCCTTTACTTTTTGAGCAGTGTAGTTGCTTGATACATTTCAATGACAACCTTTAGAAAATGATGTCATAGTCCCAGTTTCAGCCTAACCTGCAACCCATCATTATCACTATTTCCTGTGTTTACTGTTCAAATTCAGTGTGCAAGCTGTTTGCACAGGCGCCACACCTTCCTTCCTGTTTTTGGTGAACTTTTGATGCACTTGTGTTTCTGTGTGGACATGGCCCGAGGGTTGAAGCCTTATCGGCAATAACTTTGACCTATTTTACCACTGTTGTGTAATAAGGTATATGTGCGTATATATGAATGCTTTCTTTGAAATGCTACTATACCTTGTAATTTGTGTTAGTTCACCTTCTTTGGATTGGTAACACAACCAAGAAAATTCTTGCATTCTTTACCATGGCAAGCAAGTTTAACAAAAAAAAAAAAAAAAAAAAAAAAAAACATCAACATGGGACAGTAATTCTGAACATCCTTGCCTTTCATTATTGCACCAGTGACACAAGCAAGTTCACCTTGTTTTGTTTTGATGGGTCAATGGGAAAGCTGGCCTGGTAGGAACTTGAGGGTTGTAGCTTCGCTGCGATTTTAGTTTATAAGGCTTTTTTCATTTGGGTCAAAACTAAACAGCCTATTCCAGAGTGAGTAGTTGCAAACTACACTAATTTCAGGTTTCAGTGCATGTTTCATAGGAAACTCATAGCCTGGCCTGCCAGACTCATCCTCTGCTTAAGTCTGCACAGAGAAAGAGTCTGGGAACTCTCCTATTCAAATAACCCCACCCCGTAAGAATTCTAACTGGGCCAATCAGCGCTGAATAGCGTACGTCACACACCATAACGCCGAGTTTGTCGAACATGGCGACTGAAGCGGAGTTCGCCGCGTCTCTTTCCTCTGGTCTAAATGACTTGGACATGTCTTTAAAACAACAAGTAGAAGCACTAAAAGCCTCGTTTCTAAAGAAAGATGTTTGCGCCAACGTCCGAACCCATTTTTGACTACAGCTAAAAAACTACAGTGTCGCGGACGTCACACACAGCGACAGTCAGTTTCTCATAAACAACGAAGACAGCGGCGGAGTTCTCTACGACTCTTTCCTCTGTTCTAAATTAGTCAAATGTCTTTAAAACCACGAGTAGAAGAGCTAAAAGCCTTTCTTCTGAAAAAATAAAAGATGTATGCGCCGTTGCCAGATGCCTTTTTTTTTCAACCGCTAGAAAACTACAACGTTGTGCGGTACTTTTTTCTGACTGGTTACTTTTGAGCTGCCTAGTCCCGCCCTCAAGTGCCTCTCTGCCTGTGAGTTGCCAGACTCTTTTCTCTGTGCAGAATTAAAAAGAGGAGTCTAGCAGGCCAGGCTAGGAAACTCACTGCTTAGCTAAAAAGTCAAACTGGAGTTTGTGACTGCTTCAGAAAAAAATGCTAATTTTATCCTCTGATCAGAAAATTATGACTAAAGCTTTTAATCACTATTAGATATCAATATGTCATAATCTGAAAGATCTCTATTCATCTTTGGTATGTTCTTACTGTGTCTACTGCAAAACATCCTCAGAGCTGACGCTGATGGTGGCGTCACTTCCTACTCCGTTTATCTGGGGGCAGCAGAGGAAGTTGTTGCCCTCTGCTGCCCGCTCTCCCCTCTCCGATGATGCAGTCCCATACGCAATCCAATTTGTAGACTCCATCATTTCTGTTCATGGTCCCGCATCCACGTCTCCTTATCTCGATAGCTTCTTTTATTCATCTTTTGTATTTCTGTTGTTTGGTGTTTATGATCCTTGCGTTGTCCCAGTCCATTGGTTTTCTCTTGTGCAGTGATCTGTTACGGCTGACTTCTTTATTGTGCTTTCTGCTTCTTGTTTTGCTGCTCTTGTGTGTTTTCGACTTGCCACTTTCTCGCACTCCTTTCTATGTTCTATTGTTCGTGTGTTGAGTTGGCGCCCGGTTTCTCCTATGTATGTTTTATTGCAGAGTTTGCATGGGATTTTGTAAACAACTCCACATTTATGTCCAGCTGGTATCTTGTCTTTTGGGTGTACTAGTCTGTTTCTAACTGTTGTGTGTGGTTTTGTTGGTGTGTTTATGTTGTGTTTTATCATTGTTGCTCTTATTTTTTCTGTTATGTCTTTGATGTATGGTAGGGTTATCACTGGTTTTGGTTCTTGTCTTTCTGGGTTTCTGGTTCTTTGCTTTGGTTGTTCTTTTCTTTCTTTCTGTTGTTGTTTGTTGTTTTCCTTTGTTTATTGCCCATGTCGGGTATCTGCAGGTCTTTAAAGCGTGTTGTATGTGTTTGTCCTCTTGTTTACGGTCTCTTTCTTCTGTTATCATGTTTGCTCGGTGATATAATGCTCTGATTACTGACATTTTGTGTATGGTGGGGTGTTCTGATGTCCATAATAGATATTGGTCTGTGTGTGTTGGTTTCCTGTATGTGTTTATGTTTAGGGTCCCGTTGGTCTGTCTGGTGATTTTCATATCCATAAATGCTATACTGCCTTCTGTTTCTGACTCATATGTGAACTTTATGCTGCCTGTGTCATCAATGTTATTCAAGTGTTGTGTTAGTGCTTCTGTTAGTCCTTTTGGTATGATTTCCAGTATGTCGTCTACGTAGCATTTCCATAATTTTGTTTAGCAGTTTGGGGGGGAAGTGGCTATGGCTTTTTGCTCCAGGTCTTCCACGAAAAACTCGCACAAGGTGGCTGATAACAGGTTACCCATGGCGAAGCCTTCCAGTTGTGTGTATATTGTGTTGTCATATGTGAAGTGAGTTAGCTACCAGTCCTATCAGTTGTGCTATGTCATCTGCTGTGAGGGTTTGTTCTTTTGTGTAAAGCTTTGTCCTGTCTGATTCTGTTAACTATTATGTCTATGGTTTTTTGGGTTGGTGTTTTTGTGAACAGGGATGTGACGTCATTTGATATGAGTATGTCGTTGTCTTCTATCTTCTAACCCTTTTGGCAAAAGAACTAAAAAAGATTACAATAGAAGATAACAACATTCTCATCTCACATGACACACATACAACACGCTTTAAAGACCTGCGGATACTCGACATGGGCAATAAACTAAGGAAAACAACAAACAACAACCAAAAAACAACAACAATGTAAACAAACAACCAGAAACCCAGAAAGACAAGAACCAAACCCAGTGATAACCCTACCAAACATCAAAGGCATAACAAAAATAAGAGCAACAATGAAAAAACACAACATAAACACACCAACAAAACCATACACAACAGTTAGAAACAGACTAGTACACCCAAAAGACAAAATATCAGCTGGACATAAATTTGGAGTCGTTTACGAAATCCCATGCAAACTCTGCAGTAAAACATACATAGGAGAAACCGAACGCCAACTCAACACACGAACAATAGAACATAGAAAGGAGTGCGAGAAAGAAACAAGTCAAAGACACACAAGAGCAGCAAAACAAGAAGCAGAAAGCACAATAAAGAAGTCAGCCGTAACAGATCACTGCACAAGAGAAAACCATATAATGGACTGGGACACAAGGATCATAAACACCGAACAACAGAAATACAAAAGATGGATAAAAGAAGCTATCGAGATAAGGAGACGTGGATGTGGGACCATGAACAGGGACGATGGGGTCTACAAATTGGATCGCGCATGAGACTGCATCATCAGAGAGGGGAGAGCGGGCAGCAGAGGGTGACAACGTCCTCTGCTGCCCCCGGATAAACGGAGTAGGAAATGACGCCACCATCAGCGTCAGCTCTGAGGATGTTTTGCAGTCGGCAAACGAAACGTTAGCAAGGTAAAGAGAAACCTTTCCTGTGTTTTAAAAAAGAACCATAAATGGAATTAGATCTCTATTCAGCTTGTTGGTGGTACTGATACATCTTTTGTAGAAGGAGAAGTTTTATGAGAACAAGCAACAGCTGCCTCCCTCCCAGTGGACAGAGCTGGCCGATCTGATTGGTCAGTGTATGAGCTACGATCTAGCTTTCAGACCCTCCTGTCGCAGCATCATCCGTCAGCTCAACAGCCTTGTCACATCAGGTAACAATGTGAGCCTGGTGAATAGAGTTACTATATCACAATTATTGATGCTAAATCACTTTTCACTGTTTCATTAGATTATGAGATACTGCACGCTACAGAGTCGGTCACACAGAATCATGTGGGCAAAGTTTTCCGTCTCGCTCAGGATGACCACACTGTGTTTGATGAGAGGTATTTACGTTACATCTTCCCACTGGGAAAAGTAAGTGTGGATCTACAGATAATGAAATGACATATTTTAGAGACATTCATGTACAGTATTACTGTATACTCTTGTTTAGGGTGTCATCTCTGTCGCCTTGAATAGTCAGTTATTCAAACGTTCCTCTGATTGGGTTCTTTCTGCAGCAGGTGCATGATAACATCTTTCATTCAAACCTCATTTCAGGGAAACTTTGGCAGAGTTGAACTGTGTCGCTATGATCCGCTGGGTGACAACACCGGTGAGCTTGTGGCCGTGAAGAAGCTGCAGCCCAACCAGCAGTCGAGTCTGGAAAAATTCCTCAGAGAGATCGAAACCCTTAGTGTTTTACATTCTGACTACATTGTCACCTACAGAGGGGTCTGCTACAGCATGGGTAAAGCACACACACTTTATTCCCAAATCACCCTTTTCATTAAAACAGTTCAATGTTTTTGCACAGAAATATTAACTGGAACTATTTTACTAGTGGTACGAAATGGTAAAAGTTTGCTTGTTTGCAGGCCACCCCAGCATGAGCTTAGTGATGGAGTACTTGCCCTACGGTAGCCTCATTGCCTACATGGAGAGCAACAGGCAAAACATCAGCACCAGGCGGATGCTGCTCTTTGCTTCTCAGATCTGCAAGGTGACGATCACCACAGGCTTCAAATAAATACTTCCTCTCATAAAATACCATGCCTTTCTTCAAAGAAATCAAAAAGCAGACAAATGTTTTTAAGATAGTATAAGTCTCAGTTGCTACATTCTTTTGACCAACTCAGATTTGTTTTAACTGTGCAAGGTAAAAACAATAATGTTATTTTTCTCTTTTAATTTCCTCAGGGGATGGAGTACCTTCAGAGTCTGTGTTACGTCCATCGAGACCTTGCAGCCAGAAATATTCTTGTTGCCAACGAGTCGCTGGTAAAAATAGCTGATTTTGGCCTGACCAAGCTGCTTACAATGAACATGGAGTACTACTGCATCGCAAACCTTAAAGGGAACCCTCTCTACTGGTATGTTCTATTCAACGTACAAACAAGGAATGTACACTTTCAAGTATTTGAACCACTGGACTTGTCTTTACAGCTCTTAAGTTGCCTGCAACAAGACTGATTCCTGGAAAACTGTCAAATCGGGTTCAATGAGAACAGAAAGGACTTTCCTAGAAAGATTGGAAATCACTGCTTATTAAAAGTTCTGAGAGCAAATGCACTGTCTGGCCAAAAAGACAGAAAACCAAATAAACATGAATAACCACACCTTAAACAAGCCAGTAAGGCCTGACCAAATAAACATGCAGAAAGTCAGAGCGTGAAAAATAGCGGTCACTGTCATGCTGTAGATGTTGTTTTTAAGGAAGACCTCATTGTTATCTCTCCATAAAAACATTCATCTTTATTGTATTGCAGGCTGGCTCCAGAATCCCTCAGTGAATACAAATTTTCCCACAAATCAGACGTTTGGAGTTTTGGGATCCTTCTCCATGAGCTCTTCTCCTTCTGTGATAAGAACTATAGTCCAAAGAAAGTAAGGACATGAATTAAAGCAGGATGCTTAAGTTGTGTTGTAAAATACTGAGCATGGTTGTTTTGTTTAGTTGTACCTGCAGAAGTTTGAACACAACATGGACGGCTTGTCCATTCCCATGTTTCTGCACAACATCCTGTATGAGAACTGGAGGCTGCCGGCTCCTCCTACCTGCCCACTCAAGGTACATTCACTCTAACATTACTAGAATTTTAGTAAAGTATAAAAAATGTATTTTTTTCCTTGTCTTTATTCCATAATCTGCTTTTACATGCATGTTATTCCTGTGATGACCCCAGGTATACAGCCTGATGAGGAAATGCTGGGAGTACCATTCTGCTGAGCGTCCAGATTTTCCCAACCTGACAGATCAGATAGAAAACATCATGCAGGAAGAAAGAGAGAACCCAAAAGGCTGAAAACCAGCCCCATTACCAGAACTATGTAGTGTATAGATGCCTCTTTTGATTACCAGGATTATATTTAGCTTTATCTCTCCATCTCAGTCCTGAACTGAAACAGCCACATTGACAAGCAGATCCTGGATCTAATAAAACTTGAGCTGTTTTGTGAATTATAAACTTTGTCTGAGGTTTAATGAAAACTTGTTTAGCGTTCCATTGCAAATACAAAACTAGTGTTAAAATTGTTGCTTCAAAAGGTTTTAGTAGCATGCTGACTGCTGGAGAATCAAAAGTTGACTGAAACAAGTACAGGTAAAATATGCAATGTGTCTGTTTTTTGAAAGGATGAAATTGCTGACTTCAACATCACACCTTTATTTTAAGGATATACTATGATAGTTCTGTAAATAAAATATTATCAGTTTGGTTATGTTTCTGAAATTGCAAGTAAAATATTTTGTTTTTTATTTTTTGTGCAATGCTTTCTCATGTTTTCATTAAAATAATTGACTGAATAACTCTTTTAGGTAATAACTATTATGTGGTTTGTAAAATTTGCTTTGAATCATTTTTTCTGCCTCTGCAAATATGAAGAGGTGCTTAGTATTTTTCTGTTAAATGTTTGACAGTTGTTTATTTTTTCTGTTTGTTCTGACTTGCTAAATAAACGTTTGCAGACTTTTTTCTTATAATCATGAGCCCTAAAAATTCCCATTTTTGGACATAAACACTTTAACTGTGAAGCTACAGACATCATAAAACAGCTGCTAGTCCTGTTTTTGATTATCTTAGCTGTGTTAAAAACTTAGAGCCCATATAAAACCTGGAATCAAAGCTTTTTAATGAAAATTTTAATTTAAAAAACCACTTCTGTGAAAATATGAAATTCTTCCTTCCAAGTTACTTAACGGTGTGAAACACTGAAAAACATCTAAAAACATTTTTATGATAATAAGTTACTCTGAGTTTTTCATGCAGGCTGAACATGAAAATAGTCTCCAACACCTAGCTCCTTCATTAGCGTCTGATAGAAAATATATGGTGAACAACCATGATTTGAAAAATCTAACAGATCTACATCAAGCTGTCACTTGGACTCACCCATCTTGACTCATGACAGTCAAGGCTGTTGTTTTAGCATCCATGAAATAGCAGAGAACATCTTGGCTAGCAGAAGCTAACAGTTAGCAATAGCAACTCAAACACACGGCAGAAGATCCTCCAGGCTTGTGTTTTTTGTGCAGACAAATCATCCATGTCATAGAGCAAACGTAGTTAGTGTATAGTTGCATCGTTGTTAGCCTATCAGATGTCCAAATATCAGGATATGCCACTCTCTGCTGCAGCAGACTTGCTCATGCTGATATAAGCGCGTCTGGGCCCAAACTGCAAGAGCATTGCTGAGTAAGTTTCCCAAAAAAGAAAATGAGATTGTTTGAAATGCTACGAACGTTTGAAAAATTGGCAGCACAAGTTTTTTCTTGAAAGAGTCACAGAGTTGTGCAGAAGTCGGGTACTTTGAACCCTTCTCACTTCAGTTTGTGAGTAAAGCGTGAGAAATTTCAAAGGGCTAGAGACCAAAATGCAAAAAAAATTTGGGCAAATTGTGACACCATGAAAATTATCCTGACAGTGGCACAACTTTCATTATTTTGTTCAATCATGACAAATTCCACATGACTAGCTGCATAAAAATAACTTGTAAATTTTATTTATTTATTGTGTCCAATATCTGCCAGTGACCACAGCCCAGAGAGATTCAGGCTTGAGTTGTGATTGAAGACAGAAAGTCTAAAGTTTTGAGGGTGAAAAAAAAGTAACCAAAAACGTATCTGTGACAAACAACAAGCAAATTCGCATACAGTTAAAAGTCACAATTCATTTCATGTTGAAACTTACATAAGTGCCACGAGATTATAAATAACTGTTGTGAAGATTCCTGTTATCACTTAGTTTGCTGAAGTTAACAAGACTCTAATCTCCTAGATGAATTCCTAGAATATGGTGCAACTTAGTTTTAAAAAATTCCCAGAACAGAAGGTTGAATGCCGGAGGATTTCACGTGCCCAGAGCTCTGGCACCTCCGCTGTTAGGTTACAACATTCTTTTGTCTGTTGTGAATGTTTTGAAATCTATACAAGAAAATAAATGTTACAGCTGCAACTTTCCTTTCTAACAAGAAAACGTTACAGCATCAGAGCCGATGCGGGTTTCTGGGTTCTTTGGTATTGACAGGATGCTACACAGATCACATGTGCCCACGCATGTGATCTAGAAGAGAAGGGCGCCGGTTTCCTGTTCAAACCACCAAAAGCTAACACACATCTCTTTAGTATTTTGAAAGCTATTTTTAAATCATACAAGATAGCAAAGTAAGTGTTGAGACCAAATCCAAACAAAACATTGTGAGTGGAAAAAAATACACAAAGAAAGAAATGCAAAAAAAAAAAAAAAAAATCCAACAATCTATTCAAATAGGTTTTAAGTGTCTGATTTTTTTTTCTCTGTTCAAGTCAAACCTTTTTATGCAAATCAATGCAAATGTAGAGCCTTAATCGAGTTTATGTGTGTATAGGTCTCTGGTCTGTTCACTCTGGAAAAAGTATCTCAGTTATTCCAACAAATAAGAGAACAGAAGCCAATTGTCACATGCACAGAAAAATGGGAACTAAAACAGATGTTTAAAACATCCGTTGGTTAACCACAAGAAAAAAGAAACAAATGGAACAAAAGATATACCACTTCTGTAAAATAACATTGGTGCTCCTTCTTTTTCGTCTGCCGTCCTGCCTTTCCTCTGCTTTACATGTGTACAGGGTAATGTCTAGGTTGAGTAAGTTTGTATGCATTCACACACCACTCCCTTACATACCTCAGGCCACATGCTATATGTAAAACTCCCTCTACCCACATTTTCCTGTGTATGCCTCCATGCTATTTTGTTCATTCAATATCCTTCTCGCTGCAGGTGTGTTTAATGTTGCCTACTGCAATGGATGTAGTCTGTTTTAGCACCTGCTCATGCCACTAAAGGTAGCATCCTTGACTGCCTTCCAGATGTAATTCAAGCCAGCTTCTTCTCCAGAGCTCCTTCTCACCTTATTGATACTCCCTGCTGCCGCATGCTTGCCATCCTCCTGATCCACTTCCTCATCATCTGCCCACACCTCTTCCAAGACAAGGTGACACCTGTACCTTCCCTGGGCCAGGTCACACAGAGGTCGATGTCCACCGTGCCCAACAAAGCCCTGTGTGACAGTCAAGAGTCTGCCAGCTCCAGCCCCTCCTAAACGCCGAACTTTCTGCCAGTCCTCATCAGTGCACCTGCTAATGTGATTCTGGAATAACTGGATTCTTGATAGGCAAGTGGATCTCTTGTAAGAGAATTTTTACTTCCTCCTACAAGTTGCTGAAATGAAGCTGGAGTTTGTTACTCTTGCCACGGGTAAAACTTTGTGGCAAGGTGTACCATCTTTGGAGAAAAATTCTGATCTTTCGCTCCAAAGTCTCTGCCGTTGACATAGTCACTTCATACACAGTGGCCAGATAATGTGGGAACGAATGCTGTGTTGGTACAACCACACCTTAAACATGCCAGGAAGGCCTGCCTTGTCTACTGTGGGCAACCAGGCTTCAAGCTTCTTGTCAGACTGATGCCGTCTCTAGGATTGAAGTCAAAAACCTTGCTTATAGGCTATAGTGACTGGTTTCTCAGTGAGTGTTGGAATCACACTGTCCACAAGGACCATAGACCTGGTCTCTGTTGGTTTAAATCTCATCCTAGCTCAGCAGATAAAGCATCCAGCCACTGATGGTAACCATCAGGTTGTCTGAATAGGAAGCAGCCAAACTCCAGACTTGGACAGGGGTCTACACTCCGTCTCAGGTGCCTTCATCGACATATTCATTGCAAGGACAAAAATAATTCAACATTAGCCCAGGGGTGTTAAAAGGTTTTATTAACCCTCGTCACACCCTTTAACTTTTGCAACACCCGTTATCTTTTGCACAAAAATGTGCACTACAGAATAAAGCTGTATTAAAATTATATAATATATCATAAATCCCAACATTTTTTGCATGAATTTCATCCTTGGCTTCAGTCCTCACAAAACATAATAGATGTGTGCATTTCTGAGATTTAACCCCTTTAAAACCCAGCTATTTGTTCAAACTTAGACTGTAAAAAAATGTAAAAAGATGAAAACATAGAATATTTTTTGTGTGTGAAATATTCAAAGAACATATTTTGGGGCTGAATTGTGAGAGCCTTGGAGGGTCACAAATGTGCATAAAATTATTAGTGTTTACTCTTTTCTTCTTTTTTGTAGTGTCAGAAAATAAGACAAACGGTCACCTATTGTCTTATGTACAAAAACGTGCACTACAGATTAAAGTCATATTACAATTTGTTACAACCCGTCTAGGAGGGGCCAGGCCATAACATGAAGGTGGATTCCCATTTGCCACAGATCTCAAGTACCACACCACAGTTAGACTTATCTACAAAGACTTTATTTACAAGTTTTATAGTATTAACTGAAGGCGAGGGAGGATAAATACAACTCAGGGTGAACCAAAGGCCAAAACAACAAACAAAAATACCCCCAACTTAAATAATCATCTTACCTATAAATTAAATAAAAAGAAATGCAGCAAAACTTACCTCCCTGATTACAAACACAGGCAAAAACTGAATGGACAAATAAAATGGCAGGTTCACCCCTACTTTCCTGAAGTTTACCATCAGGTCTTTACACAGCACTCTACACAGGACACACTAAGTGGGTGGTGGCAGGTTGGGATGAGCAGAGAATGAGGATCAGCTGCAGGTGGTGTTGACATCCCTCTTAAAGGTCTGCTCCCATCAATTATCCAATCAGGACACTCCCCAGGCCACTGGTTCACCAATCAGATGTGGGCACCTGCACTAAGAAACATCATGAACACACAAAGCAGCATCTCCCTAAATAAAACAACTTATGACCCTTGGTCGTAACAAATTATATAATAATTCATGAATTCCAGCTTTTTTCACGATTTTCATCCTTGGCTTAAGTGCTCACAAAACATAATAAAATATGTGTATACTTTTAAATTTAACCCCTTAGATCCCAGGTTTATTGTTAAAACTTGGACAGAAGAAACTGAAAAAACGTAATCCTTTTCTGTGTGATTTGTCCAGAGGACTTATTTTAGGGTTGAATTGTGAGAGCCGGAGGGTCACAAATGTGTATAAGATCATTTATGTTTACTCTTTTTGTTGTTGATGTTTTGGCAGATTTTCTGAAAAATGCACACCTTTTTCCTTTTTCACATAAAAAAAATCACACAAAAAGCCAGTTGAACAGTTTAATACATAACAATAAAGAACAAGTGTGTGTGTGTGTGTGTGTGTGTGTGTGTGTGTGTGTGTGTGTGTGTGTGTGTGTGTGTGTGTGTGTGTGTGTGTGTGTGTGTGTGTGTGTGTGTGTGTGTGTGTGTGTGTGTGTGTGTGTGTGTGTGTGTGTACATACTGAGGACCATTTTGACCATTTTCCCAACAATGTGAGGACATTTTTCTAAGTGAGGACATTTATTTAGAAGCTTACCAGAAGCTTACTATACCAGCTAGAGGTATAGTGTGAATTAATGTTTAGTTAAAGTTAGGGTTAGGGTA